TGGTGCCCCGCAACAGGACAAGAGGCAATGGGCACAAACTGAACCACAGGCAGTTCCATCTGAACCTGAGAAAAAACTTCTTCACTGTGAGGGTGACAGAGCATTGGAACAGGTTGCCCAGAGGGGTGGTGGAGTCTCCTTCCCTGGAGATATTCAAAACCCGTCTGGATGTGATCCTGGGCAATATGCTCTAGGTGACCCTGCTTGAGCAGGGAGGTTGGACTAGATGATCTCCAGAGGTCCCTTCCAACCTAAACGATTCTGTGATTCTGTGATTCTCTGACCCTTCCCCTCCAGTCAACCCTGGTGAGGCCACACCTGGGGTGCTGTGTCCAGTGCTGGGCTCCCAGTACAAGAGAGACATGGATGGACTGGAGCAAGTCCAGCCAAGGGCTACCAAGGTGCTTCAGGGACTGCAGCATCTCACAAACGTGGAGAGGCTGTGAGAGCTGGGACTGCTCAGCCTGGAGAAGAGCAGGCTCCGGGAGGGGATCTTACCAGGGCATATACATACCTGATGGGAGGGAGTAAAGAGGATGGGGCCAGGCTCTTCTCAGCGGTGCCCAGCGACAGGACGAGAGGCAACGAGCACAAACTGAAACACAGGAAATTCTGTTTGGACATAAGAAAACACTTTTTCCTGTGGGGGTGGTGGAACACAGGCATAGGATGCCCAGAGCAGTTGTGGAGTCTCCATCCTTGGAGATATTCCCAGCCCTGCTGGGAGCAGGGAGTTGGACCAAAAGACCTCCAGAGGTGCCTTCCAACCCCATCCGTGCTTGAGATTGCTTCTGCATGTTTGTTCCTTCTAGTTTGTTTTTCCAAGCAGTACAGATAAGCCTTCAGTCCCATCCGCCCTGGAGCAGAAACAATGTGTCGCCACATCTTGTGGTGACTTTGTAATGTGGAGAAACTGGCATGAGGATGAGATCACACTCGTTCTGTTTTCTGACCTAAAGGAACGTAAACTCACTGACCCTATATATATGCAGACGTTGGCAGTTACTCTATTATTCACGTCACTTTATGACTGTACATTATACTTAGCATTTATACTGCATTATGCAGTGCAGAAAACAACAGCAAGTGGTCTTACGAGTTACCACTATTGCATCAAGAATAAAAGCAAGCTCCTCGAGTAGCTTAACCTTGACACTAACAATGGCTTCCTAAGGGTGGACTAGTGTCCCTCATGCCATAGGCAGACCCATTAGAAGGGACCAAGAGTAGAAAACCTGACTACTTCATTAGTTTTTGCAAAGGACACCTCAGAGGAACAAGCATGATGGGCAACAGAGTTTCCAGAGACTACCGCCTGGATCCAGGTGAGCTAGTGGGAAAATTCTCCTAAATCTCAGAGTTCAGTTAGATCTGGCTGCATAGCTGCTTCCATACAGCAGTGGAAGCCCCTGTATAAGCCACAGTATGAATTCCCTTCGAAAAAGCAGTCGTTCCTGATGTTATTTCCACAAAGAAGTCTGGCAGTAAGCAATCTTGTAAGTGCATAAAATGCATGTGGTGTCTTATTTGAAACCAGCCTTGTCCACACTCAAGTTATCCCAGCTCAAGTTGGCCCCACAGGCAAATCTGTGGCATTCCAGTTGCAAAGGGAATATTTCTGAAGAAGCTGACAAATCCCTTTATTCTGTTTTGGCAGGGAATATGTTTCTGAAGAGTATTCATCTATGCACAGGCAATACATGGAAGGAACAAAATCTGTCCATTCAGAACAATTGCTCTTTCACTATATGACTGGGAATTTGGTATTAATCTCTAATCATATATCCTTGTTTTCTCCTATAAAATTAGATACTCAGGCAGCACAAACTGGACTTGAAAGGTAGAACTTACTCAACATTAGCTCATTTAATCATAATTGTCTACAGTGTAAGTAGTTCATAGGAGGGTTTTCAGGTTCCTAGTGTGCTTAATGGGTACTTTCAATGGCATTTAGGGTAGGGACACTTTGGTGCTGACTCACTGATGGAATCACTTATACTGTAGAGGTAGAGTAAATTAAATGAGCTGCAGCTGAAATATTGTTTAAGATGCATGAGTAATCCTATTAATTAACATAATTAATTTTATTAATTTTAATACCTAAGATGCCAACAAAAAATGTGCCAGAGAGAGCTCTCTACTGTCCATGCTCAGATGAGGAGGTAGGCACAGAGGCTGCTGTCCCAGAGACACCTGGGAAGATCAGGTTTGTTGCACCGCTTTCTCCATGAGTGAAGGGTGGTGACACGCCTTTCCTCTTAGCTGATCTTGTAGCAGGGCTGTGTGCCTGCAGGCAGCTGGGCAGGGAACAACGTTCTGGCAGCCACCATCCCCCTCTCACCGGGGGCTGAGCTTGGGTTGAATGGGGTCTGCCGTAGTATGTGTTGTTACAGGTGGATGGTGATGTGTCCCCTGGAATACTTTTCCTAGTAGAAACAATATCTTATTCTGGATTTTCTTTAAATCAGTTTCCTTCCTCCAGTGAGTCTGGATATAAAACTGTGCAGGCTAACAAATAAGCAGAATTATAATATGTACACATCATGTTTAAACAGTAAGCCTGTATTAGTATTACTTCAGCTATAATAAAATTATCTGGTACAGCTAAATAATTATGAAATTATTATGGTCCAGCTGTACAATAGGGAAGGAAAAGTTGTTTCTGCTCCAGCAACAGAGTTGCCGTATTTCTGTAAGAATGAATTTACTAACCCAGTCCAGTCCCCACTGATTAGAGAAGTCTGGGGAGCAGAGCGGAGTGGAGTACAGAAGAGCAGAGTGGAGAAGAGATAATTAAATGTTTAAAGAAAAGCTCAGATGAGGATAATTCAGAAAGTAAGCAGCACAGTAAAAGACTTATCCATCACAACTACAGCATATTATCTCATCCTAAATCCAACTCTCATCCCAAACCATTTTATTTTTGAAATGTCTTTGAAACAAATGCAAGCATATACTGAAAATACAGTGAGAAAACATTATCAGGTCAGCCCATTTGCATTACTATGGAGTCGTGAAAGATGTTTCTGTACCTTTACAGGATATGTTTGTGCTATGCTATAACTAATTTAGCTTTAAATTGATTTCAGAAGCTTTAACACGATGGTTCATGGTTCAAATCTGTATTAGGCTATAGTTGTGAGGAAAAAAAAATCAGCTGTTCTTGCGTTTGATATTTTAAGTGCTTTTTAGCGATATTCAACATATAGACAAACAATGTTACTTCCCAAGCTACTGTGGAAAATCACCAGCAATAATATGGCTAGAGACAACTGTAAACATGTGAAATAAAAAAAGCTGGACATTTTCTAAATAAGCCTGTAAGGTCCTAGCCTTTGCTCTTCATCACCTGCCTTTCAAAAGGATGCATAGATATGCTATGAAGTGTAAATTTATATACATAGTAAAATTCAAAAATAGGCAATAGTTACATGCAAAAATAGCACTTCTCCTTTAAGAATGAATAGCTAAGGGTTACTGTACCACATCACATGCTCACAGTGTTGCTAACTCCAATGAGGATAGCTGTGGGAGTAGAGGGATATGAAACCAAGTCCCATTTTTGTTTGCTTCTTCTAATGTAGCTACTTCTTAGAAGGGCGAGCAAAAGGCTCTTTATTCCTGCAAAACTTGTGGCATTATCCTCTAACCTTCATGAGGGTGGGGAGTCTAATACCTGACTACTCCTACAAGAACCTTTGCACAGCTGCTCCCAGCTCAAACTGCCTGGGGCTGTTCTCCCAAGGAGTCAGTGCAAACCAAGACACTCCTCAACGGAACACTATAATTATGCTGACCCCCAAAAGAATGTAAAGGGTTATTACTGCAGGAAATCTGAGAATAGCTCCTCTTTCTTAGAAAGGGAGGCATAGAGTTTAGGGGGAAAATAACAAGGTTTGGTCCTGTTCCCATTGAAGTTTCTTGAAATGCATAAAACTAAATTAGGGAATATGAAAAAAGTCTGACAAAAACTGACACTTGTAATTATAGTCTCTATTCAGCTGTCAGAATCCAGTGGATCTAGTGACAAGATGGAAAGATGACAGATCAGCTCCTACTACTGTCCTGTGTAGGTGCCTTTACGGTGCTAAAATGCATGTTAAAAAACATATACTTAGTCATCTGCACAAGTATTGAAGTTTTTCACATATGCCCAGACGCATAGAGATTTGTATCTCAATTGCAGCGGTCCTTAAGAGAGAGACACAATGTAAATCCCTAAAGCAAGTCAGACATAACGCAAAAATGATTAATTATTGAGCCAAAAAAAAAAAAATCTCATTGTGGCCATCTGTGAATAAAAGGAGGGGGGAGTTTTATCACTGGCAATACAAAATTCACAATTGGAACGTCTAATGAGATTTTTTTTTTTTATTAATCGAATGAATAATTGATTTCACAATTGCTGAAATGACTGTTTGACATTATTTTGGGGGGTTGTTTTGTTTTGCAATGACAGAGATTTTTATGGGAGAAACACATGGAATCACAGCCGAAAATCTCACACTGCAGAGCTAATGTCTTCAGTCTCACATTAGGCCAGGACTGGCCACCTACTAAGGAATATCATTACAATGAGTGCAGCATCCCCTGGAAGGGCATCAGTCCCTTTCACTGACTGCAGGTATGGTAACGCAGGTTTCTTTTGGCCTTTTCCTATGGTGAGTACTCATCTACTCAACAGAGCTCCCCTCTAATGAGAAGCCACACCATTTCTGAGACACATACGTGTACTATCACGTACAGGATAATCAGTACATCTGACCACATCAACACTAATCCACTTGGTACTAGGACTAATTCAAAGCTAGCAATTTAATTACTGTGTGTAAATTCCTGCTTCATAATGGAGCTGCACCTGAGAGCAGCATAAGGTCGCAAGGAAGAGTTATTGGTACCCCTCAAAGCATCTTTACTGCCAAGTGCCTGCTTGCTTTGGAGGAGGCTCTCCTTTGGGGGAGGTTCCCCTTATTGTTGGAGACCCTGAAAGAGCTTTTCTTTGTGGACGAAAGAAGATCTGCGAAAATCCATAAGGGCCAGTCTAAGGATCTTTAGTTCAGTAAAAGGCTGAAGAGCCTTTGGGAAATGGCCTGTGCCTGTCTTCTGTAGGCACTGGCAGAAGATTTTTGCCTTAACTGTGCATTGAGTGATGTGTACTAACTGTGTTTGTGGGCAAACACAGCAGAGAGCGTACTTCCCTTTTAAAGGAGGCAAGGTCAACATGGGCAGGCTGAGGGACCAGTGCTGAGTTTTAGCTCACAAAGGAAAATGTCTCATCTCCACTGTTCACACACAGACAGTTAACATGCATTACATACATCACAGCTGAGTATTTAGCCTGTGGTAAGCACATTTTTAGCAGCAAAAGGAAAGCAAGAAAGTGAAAAGTGACAGAAATGATTCTTCAATTTAATATTTTGATCTGCGTATCTTCCCTGCATGTGAATTCATGTACCTTCAGGGGATCCATTTTCTTTCACCTTCATAGCCATGTTGAGATCCATAGGGTAATATAGGGTCTCACTGCACACACACCTTGCCTGGATGAACTCTTCTCGTGTGGCTGCTGGGAGGTTTTTGAAGCTGTGAGCCTATAGAAAAAAAAATAGGTGGGTCTGGTTTCCCCAGTCATCATGTTTAGAATTGCACATACCATGATGATGAAGCATTGTAAATCATGAGTCTGCCAGCATTCACTGATAAACCGGTCATGCAAAGGGCTCTTTGGAGGAGGAATTCAGCAGAAGGCACTTTACATCTGTCAGAAATAATTCAAGGGTGTGGAGTGACTCATTGGGAACTGCATGAATAATCAAGACTTCAGTAAGACAAAGCCATGAACTTTTGTCTGGCACATCAGTGGGGAGCATGGAGTTGTATTCTGGGGACTGATGCTAGCAAAAACATCAGAAGGCGAGTTTTTTTTCTCAATAAAACGGACTGGCCACTTTTAAAGTGCAGTTTTATGTAGGCCAGTATAGCGTGGATATAAGAGTGCAAAGCTTAGTGTAGAAAATAAAACTGAGGAAACAGGAAAGCCTTGCACTGGTGTGTAGTCAGAAGAATTTCTGCTGTAATCAGACAAGTGATACCACATCTCAAGGTGTGTCAGCTTCCTAAATCAAAACAGTATTGCAATGAATCAACAAAAAAAATCCACAACCTCAAAGCAAGTATGGGTTGGGATCTGTCCCAGAGAAAAAAAACTTTCCCACTACTAGACCATTCCCTAAATCCATCCCTTCTCTCAGGAAGGCTTGTAGAGTACCTATCATTCATCAGGATTGCAAACTTTCACGTGGGTGACAACATGGGCTTGTCTGCCAACACAGCCAGCCTCTGGTTCCTGCTGTCGATCTTCGTTTCTCTTCCCAGGCGTTTCTTCTAAATGAAACTTTTTTGCCAAGGTTCTGAGATGAATCTGTCAGCAGCTTCTTTACCTCCTGGTTTAGGGTGGACTCACACTGAACCACAGCGTTTTCCCAGTGTCATTCAGGATTCGTTTCAGTGTCATTGTATCTTAACCCCCCTGATTATCCTAATCAGCTTTGTCATTTTAAGGATGTTTTTATTTATCATAAACAAAGTTCTCCAACCATATGCCTCCCACCTGTCATGATCCTCACCTCTCACTGGAAGTGCTGAGCAGGGCCTATGTTTGCAGAAAGGTGACTAGAAGAAAATGAGGGTAATTAATTGGCTGAACATCTTTCCTACCCAGAACGTGGCGACACCTTCTCTACCATACAAAATCTAACAAACTTTTCTTGAGATATCACTTCTTAGATCTTTCCAGAACAGCATAGTGTTTGCATTTTAATCCTAATATGTTGAGTAAGCAGCTAAGAAGTCTAACTAATGGAAAGAATAAACAGCACTGAGAAGCAGTTGATGCCAGATAAACCTTAAAAATAAAAGATTTCAACTAAAATCAAGGCCTAAAATTTGAGATGAGAACAGAAAAATGGGAAATGAGATCAGCCTAAGCTGTATGTTTTAATATTAGTCAAGGACTCAGATCTTTCCATTGTCCCAGTAAGAAGCAAACAGATTTGTGTTTCAAAGTAGTGATAGATTAACTATTTCCTTTGCCCTTGGCCAAGACTAGAAAGTTGCCAACCACTACTGGTTCCCACTTGCTGTATGGAAATAAGGAGCTTGATTTTTTTTTTCCAGACTGCAAATCAAGCAGTGATAGGAGTTATGCATACCTGAGGTTTTGATTTTCTGCACTGCACAAGAAGAACAAGGAGAAGGGGGAAAGATGAGATCATTTTTCAGCTGGTCTGTGCCAAGGTCCAGACTCAAAATATCCTCCAAGGTCATGTGTTCTGACCTCAGGTTTTGTTCCATCAGACCTAGTAAATACTGCATCAACTGGAAGACAGAGCTGTCTCTGTCAGAGAAATTTAGAGGGCTTGAAAGATTAACAGCGTTTGGAAACTGGAGATTTAGTAAACACAGGAGATTAGGAAAAGCTTTATAAACTGAGAAAAAGCTGGGAGAAAGCTTGCAAATTTTGGTCACAGATCTGAGAACAAACAAAAATGTATTTAGTGAAGGTTGTTATGCGTGTAGTAAGGTCAAAAGGTTGTCACTACAAATATTTCCAGCACTTTTTTTTTTAAAGCAAGTTGTAAAATACTTCCAAAAAGTACTGATTAAGCTATAGGATAATGTACCCTTTATCTGTTCTTGCAAAGACAGGATCACTTGGCTTTCAAGACTGTGGGCTAAATCCATCATGACTGTAACTCAGCACTCATAACTCAGAGGATTACTTTGTCCCACATGAATAAGTAAGACAGAGAATGTGAGCTCTGAGAATGCAAATATATGAACAAAGCATGTCTTAGAGCAGGGTGAGGAATGCAGATGAGTGTATTGGAAGGTGGGGCAGGTACATGTGAGCTGTTTAATAACTGTGTTGAAGAAATCCTGATGATACAGAGGTGAAGGAGTCCAAGAACTGGAGGAAAAACCATGCTTTGAAATGAACTGAAGGACTGATCTGCAGCCATAGCAGCTGGTGGAGATTATTAGCATGGAAATGCTATGTTTAGTACAGCTAATGAATCTCACATGCTAACAAAAAACATATACCTGTCTTGTTACTATCTTAATTTACAAAGACTTCACAATGCTTTGCACAGCCATACTGTTTTTCATTGGAGACTCTTCACCGGTCAGGGCACTTTACAGCTGTAACTAACAGCACCTTTACAAGGCCTCTCTGAAATGGACATTCTTGTCATGCACTTACAAGTGAGGCAGCAAAATTAGGGGGTTAATTTTGAGGAATTCAATTGATTCTTATGGAAACTGGATAAAACTGAGAAATCGGATGGATGAAATGAGACAAAACATTATTTAGCATTCTTAAGGCTGAAATATGAAAAGCTGAAGTTCTTCAACTTGGAACACAGGTAGTCTGTCAGATTGCAAGTCAAAGCTATGGCAGGATCTCAACCTACCTTTTCAGCCCCGTGACTTAGTTGGCAGGTCTCTGTTTCCTCATTGTACTCGCTTCTGTTGTAGAATACCAAAGGGACCTGCATAATCCATACATGAACAACTGCTCCACCTGCTCGCATTGCTTAGCTGCAAAAATGACTTTGCAGTATTAGTGGTCAACATTGTACTAAAATTGCTTTCCTCCCAACAATTCAGTACCATTCACCTTATTTGCTTCATTTGCTTTTATAGTTCCTCTTGGTGGTCCCATGTTGCCATGAAGCGTTATGCCACATTCCTGAGAACACAGTCACAATGCTGAGGTGAACATGTTGGCTGTAATCAGGGCTTGGTACCCGGGAAACAAAAGTCTTCCTTGGCTATAAAATCAATCATACGCATAAGTGGTCTTTCCAAATGCCTGGCAATTGTCCCAAGTCATCACCTGCTTTTCCCTTAGCCAGAAGGAGTGATAAAGATTACACAGCTGGCAAGTCAACAGCTGTTGGTTTGGCTCCGCTGTCTGGCTAGCCATACATGATTATACCTGCTACCAACAAACGCTTCTCAAGTATTCCAGGCAAGAGACATGCCAGTTCCATCTCATTTACCCTTCGAAGATCTTTCATCCCAAAGGACTGGCTAGGTGATCATCATATTTTTTCTGCATGGTTACTTAAGCTGTTTACTACACAGATAGGATTTTTGGTTCCTGAAAAAAAAAGAGCCGGCTCCAGTCACTGAAAGCAGACTTCTTCAGTGGTTACGCTTAATGCCTGCAGACTTTGGCCCTTATTTTTGGGTCTGTGTTGTCCTTTACCCAGGCCTGCTGATGTACAGGGATTGAAAATCCCGCACCAACAGCCACTTGGGGGTCTGTTTCCTCCCCACAAGTACCCAGAGTTGCTGTAAGCAACTGCTCTGCGCTGCCAAGCATGGTGGGAAGTGGGCACATCAGGAGAAAGGGAAAGCATACGCTGTACTCTGTTTTGGGTTAATGTAACAGGAGGGTTTTCTGTTGGCAACATAATAGATGGGCCAAATATTAGCATTGTCATTTAAGAAAAAGGGCTGCGCTGGTATAGTCATCTGTGTTTTAATGTCTGGTGATTGTGAAAGCTAAGGAATGCCCTCCTGTCCACAGTAAGAAGCTATCCCTGACTCATATCCTTCAGTAAATGTGCAAGGAAGCAATGCAAAGGAGTTTCTTATCCTATGCATGTTAAGAACAAAGTTTCTTGGGAATAAGTGAAGGCTCCAGAGAGAGTCATGTTATTTGCCTTATGAACTCTTTTGCGCACATGGAAAGCTGGTATAACACACCAGAAGGACAGCATGTTAGTCATTGCATGGCTGAAGCTTTGTTCAGTATTGGAAACAGAAGTCAAGTCCTATGGCCCCTAATTTGGTGTTTGATCACAAGACTTCCCATCTTCATCTAACTGAAGATGCTTGCTCATCACTTTTAAAAAAGATGCTCTTCTAATCCTTTTTCTTCACATGTGAGAGGCACTACAAAGAAACTCCGTTTTTTTTGTATGTTACATGTCAGTGCAGTTTGCTATGAGAATGAAGCAAACTAACAACCCAGTGATGTATTCTAGCAAAGTCCAAAGTTAATTTACTGTTGCAGCCAAAGTTATAGGAGAATGTTTTTTGGTTTTTTTTCTGCTGGGATATACAATATACAGTGATTACAAAATCTGTTATACTGCTTTGGAAAAAAAGGGTTATAGTAACTGGTTTAAACTTGGCTACTTGGCCTCACCAGCTTTGCCCATTGCAGAGAGTATAACGATTTTTATTACAGTGTATGGGATCCAGGTGACACACTCACATCTGACAGCAGATTAAACTGACGTGAGTGATGCTGTAGCCATCTCCAGTTTCCTGCCCTGACTCTCCTGGATGTTGGTAACCCTGGAGGGGAAATGCTAAACAGGACTTCTAGCAGCTCCCAACCCACTGCAGTTTACAGCCCAGCACATTAAA